TGACTCATTGTTTGAGACACGTCTCCTCCGCCTGGACTCCTTCTCTTTTCTTTTGAAGATAGATCCTCCCAGAATGTGCCTTCACCATGGCTTGGTTTGCATTTGTTTTTCTGTATATTTAATTTCTGTTAGCTGTGTTTTGTGTTTTAAGAGAATGCCTTGAGCTAAGTGAGGTGATCTCAGGGACTGCAGAGGGGAAAGGACAAGGAGGGGCGTGTGTGTTTGTGTGTGTGTGTGTGTATGTGTATGTGTGTGTATGTAAATGTTGTACAGTGTTGCCCTGTGTGCACAAATTAAGTTCATATTGTTGTAGTCGTGTCGATGTTAAAGATTATATGTGTAAAGCAAGAAAAGTCGTGTCCTTGTTTGGACAAAGCCACTATGGGAGCAAGTTTGTACTGGGAGGCTTTAAAAGTCGATTTTGCACTGGAGACGTTGGATAAGAAGCATCTGTATGTGAGCAGAACGTGGCTGTGGTCATGCTGCAGCGAGACAGAGACGTAGGCGAGTGTAAGCAGATTCCTCGAACCAACTAGTAATGTGAAAATGGTTATTGATGACTTTGAACCAGAGTACATTCTCCATCTGAGTGGGCCGTCTGGATGTCTGTTCTTTGAGCAGATTTGGTGGCGGTCCTCTGTGGCTGACATTCGGACACCAGGAGGCGCTGTTTAGGGTAGTACTGTTGTGTTGGTGGGAAATGCATGTGTATGTGCGGAGGAAAAGAAGGTGAGATGGACAGGCTGATGTTCTGCCGGGTGTTTCACGCTTGAGAAGAGAATCGATTTTCTTCTATGCATTTGATCTGTTTTAAAAGAATCTAGTTTTTATCTTTTGTCTCTAAATGACTGACACAGCTGGGAGAACGAGCAGTACGGTTTGGGAAAGTATTGAACACAATAGCAATTCGGACTGATTGAACATTCCTGGCAAGATGATGTGGCAGACTTTACTTTAAATGAGTTTTTTATTGAACATCACATTCCAGAGGGACTTTAACATTTTACAGTGACCTTACTCTGTGTGTATGAATTAATGGGAAAGCCATGGCAGAACACCACAGCACTGTTTTATACTTTATGTATACCATCAATTTATGAAATATGTAGACAGAATACACACGCTCCCAGTGCTTAGAGTTAAAGGTGCACTCTGCCAATTCTACACATGTTCAAATCTGTGTCTCGCAAGTGTCCTAACATTGTAGAATCACTATAGTAAATTGCGAGAGTGCCCCTTTAATAAACTAGAAAGAGGTCAGTGTAAAGTGTTTGAGTCGTCCTGAGTTGGAGTGATGCTGTCTCTCAAAGTGAGCAATAGGTTATTTTCTGTTATTGACGTCCACTGGGGCAGGTATTTCAGACTGTAAGCTGTTACTATGGAGACATACAGTTTATCCATGTATACTATGGAATCTATATAGGTTTCTAATGAGATGATTTGACAATGCATGCATATGAAAACATTATCTGGAATACTGCGTGCATATAAACGCACTCAGTATGTCCAAACACACTATCATCTTTATGGATACAATATGTTTTTCCATTCTTTTTATCATGCGTTCTTCCTAATTTGAGAGGCGTGAATTTACTATTTATATTTAAATGCTTGTACACATGCATTTATCGCATGAAAATTGATAGCCTTTTTATTTTAATAAATATTGCACAAATTATTCCATGAAAATTGCTGCTATTAGCATTGTAAATTTACCTGTAAATGGATCAATTGATTTATCTAACACTCTCTATCTCTTACTGTATACTACATTGGAATTCAATAGTTTTGTTTTTTAATCCCAGACGGAGAAACTAAAGTCAGCGCTTTGGTTCAGTGGCCAATATATTTTTAATATGAAGCAGTACAATTCCTCAAAATGAGGCACTTTCTCATGTGAGCCTTGGAGAAGATGTAGAAATAAAAGGTTGAAATATTTTCTGGGTGAAAATTGATTTTTTTTTTTATGAGGAAACTATAAAGTTGGAATTGCATTAAAGTTGAAGTATGAAACAATATATCACCATAGTCTAGTTATTATCTGTGTATTTATTATCTGGCCTTAAAGCCCAGGACCCTGGAGTCCTCTGATTGGTTACTATAGGTGGCTATCTGGTATGTTATTGGTTGGCAAGTTGTGAAGTGGTTACGTAGGTTGGGCTCTAGTTGGGTTGGTTGGTTGTGATATTGTGGTTCGTAACAGTTATGTGGTAATGAAGGAAGGGAGTGAGGTTTTCTTACGTGTTTGTGTGTCGATCGTGTGTGTGGATGTTGGGTGGACGTGGCTTTGATTCAGTCGTGTCCGTGAGTCTTTGCCGAGATGGGAAACGACCGCCAGCTGCCACTTTACCTATTCTACAGCGGACTTGAGCTGAGAGCAACGAACCCTCACCCCCCCACCCCCGCTCTCTTTGCACTTGAGTCTCTGTGGCTGGTGTGCTTTCCCATCCTGGTCTTTGCTCGTGGTGCTGTTAAAGGGGTTTAAGATCACTTCAGGCCTCTGGATGTCCCTTTATGTTATTGTGCCTCAGAAATCATGTGACCATCTTCCACACACTGTTTTTCATATCAACGCTTCAGTTCATTTGCACAGAAGTCTCCAGAGGGAATTAAAGAGTTAATTTCCTGGAACACTTGTATATGTAGGAAGAAAATACAACCTGATTTTATTTTTCATGTTGTTATTTACATTGTACTGAAACTGTTTTAATTTTCTGTTTTCAGTTCAGTATTTTGAGTTTTTTGGAGCAATATTCTTCAGCTATATCCTCGCACTCACTGCTCAACTGCAAGTAAAAAGATGAAAATGGGTTCAGTTGCGAGCTATTACTATGATGTGACAGCAGAGCTAAGCTCAAACACGGTGTCTTTATTTCCAGCACACATCCTGTCTATTACTCTCCACACAGTTTGCAGCATCATAAACGCATTAGTTTAACAGATAAAGTGTGACGCTGACATTAGATATGAAAAATGCAGCTCATGGGCCGCGTGGTGCACATGATCCACACAGCAACAAGAGCCATTTCAATAAGGAAGTAGAAAAAAACTAGCAGCAGTAATAACTGTAGTGCTTAGAATGGATTTAATGTTGTAACTTTGTTTCAAGTTTCCCTTTGTGCCACTGGAGAGAGCAGAGCAAAGCCAGCAGTTATTTATGTGACTGAATCGACCACAAGAACCACACTCAGTTCTATTTTTATTGACGTGTCCAATCATATTCAGCCTGCATATTGATCTGTACGAGTCCTCAGCCCCTCAGAATGTTTCTTTTCTTTAACTGCTTTACTTTCATCAGTTCCTTTTCTTGTCTTAAGTGCTTTTGTTTTGCTCAGAATCGGTCCCATATCTTTGTTGCATTCACCTCCTGTTGCATTTCCTGTAGCTCTGTGCTAACTATGGGATCACTGGTCTGGAGCAACATGCCCTCCCCCCTGCCTTAACGTGGCCTTCAATCTGGAGCCAGACTGGTTTTAGCAGGAACAATCCCAGCTCTCTAACTAAACATGCTGTACCCTCAATGCACTGTGCTATCGAAGAGAGTCATTCCAAAACCGTAAAAAAAATCCATTCTGGTTTACTATTAAAATTCCAATTTTCATCTTCTGATAACATCAACACCCTTCATTAGGATATCTGATTTCTTTAAAACCTGACAGCATCTGTGCTCAAAGGGATTCCCCCTGGTGGCTGCTGTCACACCTCAATCAGACGAGGGTCTGACTTCCACCAAGGGAATTTTATATACAACAAGAAAACCATCAAAATGAGAGAATTAAGAACCCACCACTGCCCTGCAGCAGCAGCAGCAGCATGCCTGACAGCTTCTGCCTCCCGGGATCATCACGCTGCCAGCCACCCGCCTGAGGCTGCTCTCTGCTCAGAAAAGTAATTGGCTCGGTTTTTGTATTTGCCGGGCACTAAAATATATTTTCCTGCCTTGGTTGTGAGTGTTCACCTTTTTTACTACCTCTTTCTCGCCTGACCAGAGTGTTCTGCCAACTTCTTCCCTGAGGCCTTTTAGCTGACAAAGAGTTGTACCTGCTGGCTGCATCCAGTTCACTTTCTCCGTGTTCTCAAACATTAGAATAAACCACACAAACAAACACGCAATACTCGGCTGCCAGGTGATGCCATACAGCCTTGGGGTTTTTTTGTTGTTTCCTTTTTGCAGTTTTTGGCAGTGACCCATATTTTTTTTACAGCTGGGTCTGCTTTCCAAGAACATTCAGATACAACTTCTCCTCTTGGTGCATTTTAAAGACAGTTGGTATCAATAGAATATTGCATTAAAGTTTCCTAGGTACCAGCAGCCATATTTAACTGAGCTGTGTAATAATAGAAGGCTAATAGGAGCTTAAGGAGGGGGCTTGGTGCTTGCTAAGTCAGGGAGTTTTAATACAACCACGTTACTCCTGCAAAAAAAAAAAAGCCCCTCCAGTCCCTGTAAGCTTTCACAGAATCAGCTAAAGAAAAAATAATCCAACATGGGTTTGATGTGGCCTCGTTCTGGTCAACAGTATTACTATATCATCCCAACTAACCATTACCAGTTCTGTTTGTCGCTACTGTTGATTCTTTGGAGCAGGTTTGTCTTGATGTGTCCTTTGTATGTGTGAGTGCACCATTGGAGTGGTTGTTCTGTGTATGTATGTGTATATATGCGCATATTAAGACTTATAAAAAGAAAAATCTGAGCACAAGTTTGGGTTTTGATTTAATTTAATGGTTTTATGTAATTCTATGCTGCAATCCAAAGAATAAACATGTATTATAATACATTTATAATTTTCATGTTTTATCATCTGAACAGGAATCTGGTAACAAAAAATAAAAAAAGGAAGATTAACAGAGTATTTGTTCTTTATTTGTACCAAACTGATCTAATGTTGAAAGACGTGTGCAGTTGTGGAGGCCGATGAGCACGAGGTTTACTCGTTCCACTGATGTCAACTGCTCTTCGGTCCGGTTTTATTTGTTATACGCTGGTGAAATATACTGAAGACAATTTTTGATGAATAAACCTGGCTCTGTTGACTTAAAAATGAACTGTATGGCAGTGAAACAATCCCAACTCAAGGTCCACTCGAGTGCTTTCAACTTGACCACTTAGGACGTTTCCTTGGTTGTCGTGGCGATGGATCTGTTGACAGCTCTGGAGAAAGCCAGTAAGCGGTCTTTGATTTGGGATTGTTACTTCCAATGTTCATAAAGACTACAGCCGGAGAGACGCCACTTATTCAAGGCTGAACAACTAATATGGATTCAAGAGTTTTTCTTGAGACCCAGAATTGTCTCTGATCTCTGTCATATTTTGAAGCAAATGTTGCTAATCGGTGGGTGGTTTGGCAACTGTGGATCTGATCAAACCACACGTTCCTGATAAAGCAGATTGTTTTGTAGTTCTATTTTTTTGCTTATTTAGCTGTGATTAACATCATTTAATGTTTACAAAAGATATAAAAGGACTTCGCAGTGACTGAGGCTTTACAGCTGAGGGTGAAGTGAAACCTGCTCTCAGACCTCAAGCTTTTTATTTAAAGCCCCTACAAGAAACTTTCATTTTGTGTTGGTTCTGGCGGCCCCTGTGGACAAAAGCAGTAGTGTTTCCACTGCCTCATTTCATTGATTTGAATGGGAATCCGACCCGGTGGCAGGCATTAAAAGTAACTGTACAGATATAGCCAATCATCTCACAGATGGCCTGGTTTGTTTATGTAGATCATATAGAGACATCAGTATAAACTCCTTGTAGTACGTTTATATATTCTATACTAAGATGTACCAGAATGAACTTTAACAGTGTCATTTCTATATACAGTTAATACTTTGACTTCATTTCCTGTACGTGGTCCCTGTGGTGGTGCCTGACTTTACACTTTGACATACAGACAAAATAAACCCAAGACACACTACGTGGACTCTGATCAGTTTTTATTCCCTTGTAAATAGAATATCAATAAAAACACACCTTAAAAATAACAAATAAGGTTTATCCAACAGATGAAAAAGTAACAAAAGGCATATGTAGATTTTCTACATAGCGATTACAGAACAGTCTACCGTCCAAAAAAGGCACTAAATCTTGAAATAGATAAGAACGATAGGGGATAAAAATCAATTCAAACTGATAGAACAAACGTCCTGCTGAGGTTGATATTTTTCATTCTTTAGAGAATTATTGAAGAGTTTATTGCCAAAATGAAATGGTAACCACTCAAGTTTAAAGAAAAATAAATGTTTTTTTACATGACTGATAAAATAATTGAACCAGATGTTCATTTTAAGTATATACAGTCATTGGCTGATTAAGGGAGAACATGAGGAATGGAACATTTACATTTTTATGTTGAATGCACGAATGTCGACCTCAATAAAAACAGCTTTTTGGAATATTAACTCTTCAAATGTCAAACTGCAGCTCTTATATTCACAATGTTGACTAAGGTTAGAGACAGACTGGAGCTTTCAGTCCTGAGGCATGAACTGACAGAGACCACACAGACAACAGCTCCCCTGTGCTTTTAATTCACACAGCAGACCTCAGATCAGATCAAGATCCTCTACGACCCCATTAACACCTTCCTCGACAAGTGCCACTGGAAGCAGCCACAATCCAAACAGTATAAAGACAAATATTTACCGTGCCGTCTGTGTTAGGGGACAGCAGTATTGCCAGAGGAAGACACAGTTGGATTTGGCAGGACAAAGACAAATGGGATCGAGACATCAGTGCCTGAAGGGGTGTGCACTGTACAGGTGTTCCAGGTGTAAAAAAACAGGATCTGATCTGAAACCTCAGCTGCTTTTGTTCCTGTGAAGAACCAGCAAAGGAAGCTCATCCTTCAAACAAAACAGTACAGCAAGGCAACAGAGGACTGAAGGCAGATGGTAGAACTGCATTTTAACCAATGAAAAGATACAACATGCTGCCGCCACTGCTGTCAGAAACAAAGTGCACATGGGTAGTCTGACACTGCTGAATATAACTGGAAGAGCAAAGGCTTTGTGTGTCGTTTATGGGAAAACTGGTACAACTGTGTTTCTATTCCATGATCACTTTGACTTATTACGCATTTCAGGTTGATTATAATATGAATACACACTTTCTGGCACTCTGATTTCTGTAAATAAAAAGTAAGGAGCCACTTTAGGGTCAAAAACTGAAAGCAAATACAAATGTAGTCAAGAAACAAAGACCAATCGATTTCAAATGGACTCTTATTGAGAAACAACATGAAAGGTCACGAGATTGCTGTCAAACAAGCAACAAGCTTATTTCTAGATGATCAACTGAATTTTGGCGCTACTGTAACACTGTCGTGTTAGAGAATAACCATTTCATCTTTAAATGTTTAAAACAGCCACATTGTGACAGAAAATAGGCAAAATTTAAAGACAGGAAGAGGATCTGAGATAATAAAATACTAAAAGTAAGACAGCAGCCTCACATGTACCATTAACAGTTTTGTTTCTGTTCATTGTTTTTTGTTTCTCATTTTAACTCTTTACTTTCAAACTTTTTAGCTCTAAAATGACTATAAATGACACTAATAAACTACTTTTTCACATCACATCAATTTGCTGCTTCAGAACTCCAAAGTACAACTTCATGAGACTACCATGAAGGCAGCAATTTAAACGATTAAAAACCCTGAAATAATCTCAAAACAGCACGTTGTCTTAAATGAATCTACAGATTCACTTCAGAAAGGCTTCTGCTTAGCAGATTTCAAATAAAATAAAACATCTTCTAACCCCTAGTGGTAGAGTGTATTTTGATATTTTGGTGTAAATAATTCAGATGACACAAAGCAACTGACTAATGATGCCTCAGAGTTTTATAAACGCTTAAAGCAAAGACACCAGGACAGCTCTGCTGCCGTACAATTAAAGAGACATTCCACCACAAAACTTCAGACATTCAGTCTGAAACCAACATTGATGGGTTGTTAGTATTGCACCAGGCTGAGGGGTGGGGGTATCTGTAGAAGTATTTCATGGACTATCAATGAATAAATTCTTTTTTGGAGTGGAATTTCCCTTTACTTTCAAACTTAATATTTATTGGCTCGATTTCGAGAAGGAATTTCCCTTTTAAAAAGGACACTGACATTTCTGTTGTGCCAGATGAGCCAGTGAAACATCTGTACAGCCTCATCACAGTTTGCTGTCAGTCTCCTCTGAATAAATCAGCTCTACAGTTACTTTTACTCTCCACTGTCTAAACTTTGATTCACATTGAAGCAGCTGTGGAGGAACCTGTGGGGTGTAGCTTATAGCTGCGGGGGGGCGGGGGTAAAGTGAGGTATTTGTGTTGAGTTTATAACTCTGAACTAGTAGCTTAGCCTGTAAAGCACCTGGTGATGAACAATGATGAACCGATTTAAGTGAAGCCCCTTTAGTGTTGGCCCTTACAGAACATCATGTGTTTAGCTTCCTTGCATTGCTTCAGATACAGTGATGTATATACGTACAGTCATTGTAGAAGTCCTTCATGCACTGATCCTGCTAGTTCACTGCAAAAAATAAGGCACTTAAACTTAAATCCATACAGCATAGTTCAAAAAATTCAATCAATTGAAGCTGCACCAATCTTTTTTTTTTTTTTTACATTAAAATTGTATTAAATGACTATGTATAATGTGAAAGGGGTTGTTTGTAGTGGCAAACCCACATACAATTATCATCCAACTCCATAGTTCCCCTTATCGTTTTAGCCTCTTTGAGCTAACCGTTTTGGTTTTCTAGCCCACAAACTCTGTAGCCGTCCTGTGTTTTCAGTGAAAAAGCTCCAGGAAATGTACTGTACACTACCAGCACCAAACTAACTAGCTTAGCAACTAGGTAGTGAATAGAGAGAGACATTTAGCAGCTGAAGAGTAAGATATTTCCCTCAGGGGTTGGTAGAAACCAAAACAGAGCTAAAATGAGAATGAATATTGGACTTTAAGTCAAGTTAAGTAGCCACCAAAAGGCAAAAAAACCCATCAAAACCCAACTTTAAAGAATTCCTTGTGGGGATGGAGATAAACAGAAATGCAAAACCTGGTTGGACTTCCACAATGACTGTAGTCGGATAAATATTTCTTGATTTGACTAGTCTATCAAATATTTACTTTTCAGCTAAATAACACTTTCTGCTGTGGTTTTATCAAGAGAACTCACTCACTAAATGTTCAACTATTAGCTTTCTGAGGAAAACCGCGGTTTCGCAATTATTTTTTTGTCTTCCTACTGCCTCTGTCATTCATAACGATCAATGAAATGTTTCAACAGCAGGGACTCTAAGCACCATGATAAAGATCCAATAAAGTGTCATTTAAAATGAAAATACAATTGAAACATGACAGTATGTGTTTAAAACACATGGCATATCGAGCACAAACACAGATATACCTAAAAAGGAAAAATGCATTTTGCTTGCAATAATTTGACACATCTGATGCATCTTTGATTAGCATATCTCTAAAACATAATTCCACCCATGACTATCATACACTCAGAAAATACACCAAATTTAAACTTAATACTTTGGCTAATGGTTTACTCACCTTTCACCAACAGAAAGACTCATACTGATAGTTTCTCTCATTTGAAGCTAATATGTCTATATACTGTAAATAGAAATGGATCAGGGTACATATATATACCCCGACAGCTTATATAACATACTGTATATATGTATGTGTGTATACATACATACATACATACATACACATGTGGTATATGTATGTAGTCACTTTACACTTTTATCTGTAGTATCTAGTAACAGTTTGTTACACTGTTGAATACCTCCCAACTGACTGGTCTGTATTGATTATAGATCATCTCACAGTGATTGATTCATTCTGCCTGATCACCCACCGAGTAAGTAGCTACAAATGAATAGCACTCGGTTACCTAGACATCCGGGTTCCTAGTTTTATTTTATATTTTCTATAAATCTATCAATGGTTTCGGCTTCCTTTGACATTTATTTATCGAGTAGCTTTACTCTTTTTTTAATGACGTGTTATTAATATGGAAGCAAAGAGAGGCTGTAACAATTTGAATCTGTTATTGCTGTTATTGTTCATATTCAAATACCCTGAATTAAATTATAAAACACTTGTTTATGGGATCCCCATTGTAATTTCAAATTGTACAATTTAAAAAAAACAACAACTCAGGAGTGCCTTTGTATGGAGGGGTTATTGGTAAAACTTGAATTTCTGAAGTTATGTCAGTAATGTTATCCAAGAAAGACATTCAGATGGGTTACTGAAACCCCTGCACAGTTCAACAACTGACAAAAGTCACTTCAGTTGCATTTTAGAAATTGGAGAACTTACAAATACTCACGTGACATTTCACAGAGGGTAATTTAACCACACAAATGCAGATAGTTGGTTTTCAATTTCATTCAGTAGTTCACAAAATTCTACATTATAATGGCCTTTCTTTGCTTCCATACATTGAGCTTATTTTACCAGGGCCAGGGATAGAGGAGTTGGTGATTCTGTTTCTTTCTCTCTTTTACATTTTAAAATCATCTTAGGCTCACAGAAATATAACGAGCTGTGACCTCGATGAAACTGAGCTTATTTTGCACTTCTTCTCACTGGAAGGAATAAACAGCAAAAATTTGAAATATGATTTAACTGTGATGAAATGTGCTACATAATTTTAAAACAATCAGTTAAAATGAACTTAACTTTCAAATTCATGTATTTACCTTTTGAGGCTGTTCAGTTGTGTTGTGATCACAGTGCAAGACCCTGAAACTATTTGAACCCCGTGTCAAATACAGTGTTGTCCTGCTGTGAAAAAATGCAGTTTTCAAAGAAATCTGCACAATGCATCATGTCCTGTTAGACATTCTCCTACGGAAGATTTATAATGCCCAGATAAAACCAAATCAACAAAGTGAAAAACAATATACATTGCTATATGTATTTCCTTTTAAGTATGCATTAGGCCTGCACAATTAATCGAAATATTGTTAAAATCTCAACATGGCCAAGTGCAGAAGCTGCGATTTTTTTGATAAAAGTAAAACGTAGCAAAACAGTATCATAATGAAGTACTGTTGTGCCGTGCCTACAAATCTCATTTGTTTGGCACAGACTCCAAAAAAGTTTTGATGCGAAAATTCTTACTAATTGTGAATCATATCACAATCGTACTATCTGTCTAAATAATATGATTTCTTTTACCATATTGTGCAGCTCTGGTACACAGTTACTGTGTTAATGAAATAATTCATGATTTATTTTATTTACGTCTTTGTTTGATTTGTTTTTATTTAGGCATTGTTATAGCCTGCTGGGGAGGACTTTAACAGATAAAGGTTTATCATTAATATTATAATATACTAGTAATGCCTATAAGAGCGTAGCAGAAGGTTGGTGGTTGGAGGTAGGGTTGGGAGGTATCTCAGGGTTGGAGTTTACACGACTTTTGGTCTTTTTTTTTTCACTTATTACATTCCTATAAAATCTGCTTGCATATTAACACACCTCTGATCCTGTTCCATTCATTACCCCGACAATTCCAATATCCACCGCCCCATTCAGTCGTCCTCCAGCGTTTCCGTCTTGATTTCATTCCCCATACTGCACCTTTCCCCATCAACCTGATTGGCTAGGGCTTGGTTGCTGTGATTGACAGCCGCCTTCTCCAAACCGATTGGGTCCTGGGCCTCGGACAGCGCACTGTGGATGGTGGGTTCGTCCTGGAGGGACGGGGATGGGGGAGACCAGGACACACCTGTCAATCTGGAACCTTCCGCCTGAGGGCCTGCCCCTGCCACTAGGGAGCGGCCAATCAGAGAAGTGCCCCTCTGTCCAGACAAGCCTCCTCTACCCAGGGCAGAAAACCAGCTAGGGAGCAGCGTGGGAACCTGAACAGGGAGAGGAGAATTGGAGGGAACGATTAGAACATTTTGGCTCCATTTTATTTCTTTTAATTTTAAGTTTCTACGGTACATCTGTCCTCATATCTTTATCTGAGGCCAAAGGTCTTTGATAAATGCAGTTGTGGTGAGGAGGCAGCGTGTTTGTGTAATCGGGCTGTACCTGGGTCGGAGAGGACAGGTCAGCTCGACTGAAACCAAACTGCCTGGCTGAAGCTCTCTTGTCAAATAAGGACACCTCACAACCCTGTGACAGAGAAGCACAGAGGTTATACAATAACCAGGTCATTCTACCATCACAAGAATAGTGTCATAATGCTCTCACCACTGTTAGAAATGTATGCTGATTTTACTGCTGACCATACTGAAAGTCTCTCTAAAGATAGACTGGGACATGTGACTATTAACTGTAACCGGTTACACAAACAGGAATCAAAACCAAGTAGATTTTATAATGTTCCATACACTGTTTAACTTTACTGACCCAAAGTTCACTGAGCCCCACTGTATATTTACTGTTCCACACATTCATACCTCTGAGCTGCTCATCTTCTGTTGTGACCGGGCAGCTCTGTGAGAGGCTCTCTGTGTTGGAGAGAAGTTACAACTCATTTACATCTAGTTTACCTGGTCAGGGAAGTCGTTGCCGTCCACTTCGTCGCTGTTGGACTGACCTCCTGGACTTTGAACCTCGATGCCGTGGCTCTCCAAGATGGCTGCTTCTTCAAAAACACAAACCTCATCATAGCATATCGACCTCAAACAACAACACACTCAAGAGTTCAGAAGCTAACCTTTTAGAGCAGAACATCCTGCAACTGCTGCTGGTAAAAATCATACCACTGCAAAAGGGAAGGAGTGTGTGTTCCTCAAAAGATGCTTTACAAAATTCTATAGCAGTACTTCCAGTTGGTCAACAAGGGACTAAAAGCTCTTTTATGTGTGCTTATTGATTTATTTAGAGAGAGACTGTTTGGGAAACCAGCACAATACAATGCATATGCTGTCCTTACTGGATCCCATACATAACGTTTCTGGGTATCTGCTATGTGTAACTCCGACAACATCCACTAATGTTAACACACACACAGACAGAGGTAGACATTACCAATGTTAGCGCGCCTCTTGATGTCTTTGCGGCGGTTGGCAAACCAGTTGTAGACTTTCAGAGATGTGACCCTCTCCAAATCTGACAGCTTCTTTCCTGTAACACCCACAGAGGACAGAGGCTCATTTAAGCACATTTTATTTCACTGGTCAAAGAGTATTTCTGAAGTAATGCAAGGCACAAAAGACTTTAAATAAGTGAAAGTTTACTAATGATCAGCAGTTACATTTTCCCTTTTCATGTGTTTACCTACCTGGTTTCTGAATGACAGCGTTGCAGGCAGTGGCAATCTCCTCTCTCTTCGCCTCATCGGGGTACTGGTTATCACTGAAGTAGCTGTGTATACACACAAAGCCAATTATAGTATCTTATGATGTTATACTTAGTTACATTTACAGCTAACTCTCAACTCTTCCTCCTCATCCTCCTCCTCCTCCTCACCTCTCCATAACAGCCAGACACTCCTTTCTCCAGGTGAACCGGCTCCCTCGCCGCAGACGGAAGCCCGGAGGGGCTGAGCCAAATGGAGGCGGGGCTTGGTGCCAGTCCATCATGTCGTCCAGAGCCAGCGGTGCGGCTCGCATGGCCAGTGTGGCACCTGAAGTCACAAATACCAGCCAGCGTTAGTAATACAGTTTACTTGCATTCAGTGTGTCAAACAGCGTGGTGCTAATTCACAAGCACACCTAAAAATATGTCTCAAAGATAATAATGAAATCATTATATATTGTACATTGACTGCGTACCTTCGCTGTGTGAATACTTAATCATCAGGTTGTAAGGACAGAGTGACCCATCACACCCTGATGTTCATTTATTTTACAGCATCGGGCCAATGAAACAAATTAAAGTCAAGAGATTCTAATCAAAGCATTTTTTCCATGGAGGACACAGGCTAACTTTATACTGTACATTCCAATATGTTGGTCTCAACTTAACACAATTTAGTCATTGTTCGATCACAGGAAAAACTTACTGTGTTTATTTCTGTAACCAGGGACATCTCAAGATGCCCATAAAAATGAAAACACATGCCGTGGCATTCTTCTGTCAAAAGGCTCTTTGATTACAACTCATGTCATCTGCAACTCTCCAAATTCCAGAACCCTGTCCTCTGCTTCAGAGCTTAAAAAGAATCTCTTCCTTTTAGTTCATACTGCAATCACAGCTATGAATACCAATGAGCTGAGGTACTAAATGATTTTTCTGCACTGATGTATTAGAGCTGTCAATCTAAGGTGTCCAGAGTCCTACTCAAGGAAACTTTAACAGTATGCAATGGACAGACTGATTGTCTATTATAAAGCATCCTTTTAATAGATAATTAGCTCTCCCCATTACGTTTGTATGTTCTCCTAGGTCTGAATGACCTGATTTTTGCTCAGTCACTGTTCTCTGGGTGTTTTTGCGTTGCCAGTCATGCATTCAGAGCAGCTGACTGGTTATTTTAAAAAAGTGTTATCCCTTTTATTCTACAGTCTTCTTTCCGTGTGGAGGGTAAGCAGGAGATGTAGGCCTGATGGTGGAGGGTGGTGTTACCAGGGTTGGTCTTCTCCAGCTGGTACCAGCGGAAGAAGGCTCGTTTCTTCTGCTCGCTGAGGTCTGATCCCTGCTGCAGGAGCCAGTGGGAGATCCGACTCTGGCTAATCCCTGGAGGAGGAGGAACAGAGTGAGATCTGTAGCGTCAGCAGGCAGGATGTTTGCTGGCATGACAACTTTTTCTAGTGGTGATTTAGTAGGCCTGGTTTGTGTGGCATACGAGGTTGATACTCACCCGTTACCTGAGCGACCACAGCCTGGGAGATCCGCCTGTTCGCCAGGAAGGACTTTATCTCCTCTTTGATTACAGCACTGTCTCTCCTACAGGCAGATGGGATAATCTACTGTTTACCACAAAGTGCAATAAATGTTCATATCTCCAAAAGCCATTACTAACACACAGTTACTGTACCAGCTGCAAGTCTGCAATCTACACTTCATGCGTAGGAATCAGAAACCAGACACTGCTGTAATATTCACTGCTCTCTTTCTGGTTTGATTTCATCTTCACACACCCTCAAATCAATACCACTCTGATTGCTGCTGTCTGACTGCAGACTAAAGATATGTGTGTGAGTGTGTGTGTGCTGTGCTGTGCGTGCGGGCATGTGTGTGCAGAATATGTGTGAGTGTACGTGTAGGCATTAATCCATGCATCATATTCAGATTCAGTGTGAGCTACAGGCAGGCTTGTCTACCACCAGGCCCTCTGTATTACCACCTAGTGCAACCACAACCTGTATGTTAGATTTTTGATAACAAGTAAAATGATCTTAATTATCATAATTCTAATTATGAGTACAAATTATTATCATGATTGTAGAAAACTGCAATTTATGTGTGTGATCCGACAGCTCTAAATACAGTTGGTAGGTGCTTGTGTCTTTGCCCTGAGGTCTGCCTCTTTTTAATACTGTCCAGTCTTCTGACCACTCAAAGTGCTTTTACACTACATGCCACTTTCACTCATTCATACAGTGATGACTTATCACGAATAGAAACTAACATTCATATCTTGGGAGCAAATTTTGGATTCAGTATCTTGCTCAAGGCCAACCTTCTGATTAGTGCACAACCAACTCTACCTCTGGCTACAGCCGCCCCATTTTAGCTAACTCAAACACTGGCTGTGTCTGTGTGGTATTTATAACCACTATAAATACACTATAGCCAATTTTTTCTGCCGATACCAATATCCATATTTGATTTTTTTTTTTTTAAATCTGATAATGATACATGTATACATGTAGGGTTCCCTTGTTTGTTTGTTTTTTAAGTGCAACCAAGAAATGTAATGTGCAGGACATTTTACAGTTGAAAAATAACCTTGTCACTACTCTCTGGTGGACAAACAATAGAATGGTGACACATTAACTGTTTATACATGCTGTGTATTTAAACATGATGCAACAATAATATCAGATATCAGTGCACCTCAAAGACAATATTTCATTAACCATCAAAATACCGTCTCTGAATACCTGCTCTGAGCTGGTCTGGTACTTCCTGGTCTAGACAGCTGTGGTCTAACCTAGTCTACACTGTGTTCCAAATTATTATGCATATACTGTTTTTGTTCTTTTTTCCCTACATAATTGGCAGTCAATAGGAGTTTTTATTCCTCAACAATTAATATTCGTAATCTGGATTTTATTAAATACACAGTTGCCAATGATGAAAATGGCCTTTTTTTGCCCAAATAACTCAAAATGCAACACAGAGTTTCAAATATATTTCTAAAGGATTGAAAGAGAAATCTGTTCTGTATTATTCCTGCATTAGAGGGGATAATTGTTCTAAAATCAAGGCTATTTCAATCAAAAACATCTTTACAGATCGAGTTACATATTAACATAGGAGCCCTTCTTTGATACCACATTCTCATCTCTCAACTCTCATCCATTGAACTTTATTGAAAAACTAAAGATCTAATGTTTTTTTAATTGAAATCATATTTGCATAATAATTTGGACCACAGTGTAAATTAAGACAAGTCTAGTCTGGTCTTACCTCATCAAGTCCTCCACCTTGTCATCGACATCTATGTCCTCTTCACTGGTCTCAAACCCATAGCCTGGTGCCGTCACGCTGCCACTAACCACACCAAGAGGAAACCGGGGTGGTGACAGCTTCCCGTTGGTGACACCGACTAGACCGTTCTGGGCTACCGCTGCCATGGCGACAGGTGAAGCTACTGGAATCGGGAGAGGCGGGGAGGTGGTGTCGAAGTTGTTATTAGGCGACAGTGAGAGTCGGTTGTCAGGGAAACTTGTCTGAGTGGCGGTGGAAGTCATGGAGGAAGAGGCTGCGGCGGTGCTGGAGGAAGACGAGGGAGGCATGTAGGAAGGTTTATGGGCCAACTTGTGTCCATGTTTCCGGTCCAAGTGGTCCAAGGTGTCCAGGGCGTGGAGGACCTCCGCCTGTGTGATCCCTGTCCTCCTTAGCCTCTGGAGGAGGTCAATCTGCTCGATGGTGAAACGAGGCTCCTCACACTGCTGGAACATCCTGGAGGAGATCATAACAACACAATTAATGGCTAAGAAAAGCGACACTCAGTACATTTACTCAAGTGATGTACTTTGTTGTACAGGTTGGAAGCTGTGGTACTTTACATAAATATTCCCAACCTGAAAGATTTTGCTGGGGAAATGTTTGAAACATTTGGATCCGTTACAGTTCGGTGAGAGCTGCAGAATGTTCCATTCACTGTGCATTGTAACTTCAGTCTAGTCGATAACAAATGGAGTTAGGTCAGCTACGGCTACACCATTAAAATACTTCTTGTAGGTTATGTCCGTGATCAAATTAGACTTGATTTTCTCTCACAAGCATGGACCGCTGTATTTCAGACAGCTCTGCAGCTGCAAGAAGCACTACGTCCTATGCAACAGTATTTTTTTTGCAGACACAGAACAGATCAGAACCATTCTATATAATTTTGTACATTTTACTGTCTAAAGTAAAATGCACAAAAAAAAAACAATTATAGCAAAAATGATTTACTTATGTAAAATTTAATAGAGCATTGTTGCAATGTCGCACTGAATATACAGCACTTAAGGGACTAAGTGTAGGTCGCTTTTGACCACTTGTATTGTTGTGGAACAAAGTGCCTCTTTTGTTTGCAGTGTGTAGCAGGCGTGATTCACATCTTGAAGTTGGTTCTACTCTATAACGCAGTAACACACCAACAGAGACAACAAAGAAGAAAAGATGGACGTAAACAAGGGACGGGTTGTTTTATTTTAATTAGTAGCTAGGAAATGCACTAAATCCGTTCGTAAGACCTCAGCAACACACACAACGCTGAATGTAAACATAATTCAGTCGTGGTTGATTATCTTCCACATCACATTCAGTACATGCATGTATTGTTCTCTGTGAATCTCCCCATGCATGGGTGCATAATTTAAATCCCGCTGAGGGTGGATTCAGTCCGTGTCAAAGAATGCTACTATACTGTAGAGAGGCAATTAAAGAATACAAAGACATTTAGTGGCTGTTGGCCATAAAAAGCAGACCTGATCTGATGTGATCTACATGTTCTACTTCTGATTAAATCTATACATTGTTGCTCAATAGTGACCTTATTCCCTACACACCGAGCTTCACATCCCTTCAAAAAAAACACCAATGAGACAATAACGGAACAAAATGGACGTACGGTCACATCTGTTAGCTTCCTGCCTGCACATTTACAGCACACATACACACACAGTAAGACATCAGAGCTCAGCAGCTGCTTTCCAGATATGAAGTGCATTCCTCCAGACTAAAAAAGGCTTTTATTATGGTACATACCTTTTCAACCACAATAACCATATAATGTTACCCAAATAATGTAATGTATGGTATGTTTTCAAACCCAGAATATGCTCACTTCAATGTGGCTTTAACAAAAAGTCATTTGCTTCCCATCTAAACTGATATGCCACATACTTTTAAATGTGCACTGATTTTGTGTCAATAGCGGTCACTGAACTAAAGTGAGAGAGAAAGAGGGAGAGCAGGAGAGAAATGAGATAACACGTCTGTCTTGATGCTTTTTTTTCTGATGCCGAGAAGAAAAACAGGCCACAGCAGAGAATCAAAGTCAGCAGACATGTCAACACTTATAGAGGAGGGTGAGGGCGAGCCTGTGTGTGTGTGTGTGTCTTGGGAAAAATGCCAAGAAAAATTTACATCTCAGGCAGCCAAGCTCCATACTTTCTCTCACTGCTGCAGAGGATGAGTCACGCTGTACAAAGTTGACTGATACATGGGATCGATACAGGACTGTGAAATGATCGTCTAAAATGTTTTGTTTTCATTTCATAATGACTGATTAACAATGTTTTGTTGCAAATTAACACTTCAATTATTTATCTTATTTCGATGTAGTGTTTTTAAAATCTTGTTTCCAGTCTTCCTGCATTACTGTTATTCAGTTATTGCAACATTTTGCTGACCAAAGTGCAGCATATGCAAGGAAACTGAAAGTATGAGAAACGCACGAATATTATTCAATTAAAAAGTTACAAATGTGATTACAATTGTTATTCACTGTGCAAGCCTCAGCTTTTATGCCTTTATTCGATAGCCGGCAGCAGAGAGATGACAGGAAATGAAGAAAGAAAGAGGTGGGGAATGACATGAAACAAAGGTCTCTGCCCAGATGCAAACAGGGGATGTTGCAATTCTTGGTCGACGCCTTAATCCCTCGGCCACCAGGGCCTCCGACCAAACAACTTCTCATGCCCACCCAGCCTTCGTTTGCTCCCTGTCTGAGTTTCGTTTTTTGAATGATGAGATTTAGTTTAGTTTTGCTCTACATGCACCGTGAACTATGAGGACTGCAGCGTGTGTGTGTAGATCTGCCAGATGCAATAGACAGACGCATTTAGAATGATCAAAGGAAGTATCTAAGTGAAGTTTGACTCTTCCACATAGGATCAGTGGTAGCCCTGCAAAACATGCACTGAAGCTGCACCCCTTTAAAGTCCAGTGAAGAGCAAGAAACGCTGACCTCTGCTGACCTCTACTCTCAACATCGCTTAACATCTCCAGCAACATTTCCAACCAAAACCGTTTTTATAAAAAAGGCAGCTTTAGATTAAGATTAAGCAGTGGAGAATTAACAAAACACTAAGAAAAGTTGACTTTCACTGAGCAAATAAATTATATTATATGTGTGTATATATTTTTTTTTTGGGGGGGGGTTGGCCTTTATTGGGCAGGACAGCTGAAGAGTGACAGGAAAAGGGGTGGGACAACAAACCGACGGTTGCTGCAGCAGGAAGTCAGCCTCAGTATATATATGGGGGGCGCCAGCTCTACCAGGTGAGCTATAGCGCCCCCCCATCAACCAATATTCTTTTTTACTTACACACTTATGAGCCAGTGTCACCTGACCAAACATTTGGACTAGTTTTTAATAAGTGAAGAACCACCCACCAGGGAACAACAGGGATAGATCGGCTTCTGTTAAGGTGCTACTAACTGTAAGAAGATGCACGAGGTCACCATGTGACCAGGAGGCAAACAGAACGTTCTGCCTTTGGAGTAGAATCTTATCGTTTACCTCATTATTTATCCTAGCCTCGCAAACTAGAGTATCCCACCAAAATGCATCGTTCCTCAAAAGCAAACCATCAGGGCAGCAAATCCACCTTTACGTACCCGCATTCGCCACAATGGCTGCCAGAGCACTTTGAGTTTAAGCCTGGATCTATCTAGAATTAGGAGCGAGCCCTTTTAGTGATCACTGAAGTCTCTCATCATGGCTACAGTACATTTTACATTAACAGAGCCTTTGCAGCAGCCACACTCACTCTGTTAAAAACATTGGTGCAGTAAAGACAAAGTACCTTATCAAAGTACTCAGACTTTTATCTTGTAGTTTCTTATCATGATAAAGAAGAGGCACCATCAAGGAAAAAAGGCATATTTAAAATGATGTTGGCAACTTCAGGTTCTAAGGGGGAAATAACATTATTATTAGGTCAGGGTTTGTTGGACTGACAGCAAACCAGTAGAAAACCAGTAAAACTCTGCCACAGATTGTGTGTTACAGTATGTGTGTGTGTGTGACTATGTGGGGCTGGGAGAGAGTATGTGTGCCAGTAGGGATGGAGAGACTAGTAATCAAATAGTGCTGACTGGCACTGCTCAACTCCTTAAGAGATCTCTGCTAAGCAGCAACAGCAGGAAGTGTGGGCACGAACACACACACACACACACACACTTAAGTAACAACCAGGATAATACTGTTTGACTCCAGATCTAATGTGCCCTTCCAGCTCACACAATCCTGAAGTGTCATGAGCAAAGATACCCAATGCCTTCCAGCTCCAGGTGCTGCTCTGTAGCTAAACTTGACCTCTGACCTCCGGAGCAGCAGAGAGGGATAACACAGTAATACATCAACAAACTCTGCAAGACGCACCATGCAAGACCGGCCCCTCACTTTATCCGTCTGTGTGTGTTTGGGACAAAATGATGTTTGCTGTGCTTAAAGGCTTACGTCTAATAAAGCTTTAACATGTTAAATATGAGCGGGATTAATATTGCTGAACCCAGTGACCTGCATAAGATCCTATCCAGACGTGGCACAAAGTGTAGCCCGGTTGCAGGAATGAGCCAGCTGAGCACAAACACTAAAGTCATTTAAATACAGTAGGCAACTTTTTAACTGGCTCCAGAGCAGGAAATTTAAACAAGAAAAACAACAGCTGGCTCCAAAATACCAGGGGAGCTCCGGAGAGCGTTCTCGACTTTCACGCCGAAACACGTTGAAAAAATTATGGATTTTGATTTCGCCTTGCTTCTAGGAAAATGTGCATGCCCGATAGAGGGTGTCTTAAGACGAGTCGTGGGTATCGAAGAACAACTCCTCAATTCGGCATGTATCTTATAAACCTAACCATTCTTAACGCAACTCAACTGTACGTTTGATTCCTGGTTCGCCTGTTGTTCACCGTAATTATCACACTAAACTAAAATACACTGTGCATCGCGGTGGAGCACTGTAGAGCAACTGGAAAAGTTGACATTGTGTTTGATTTAGTGTTTCTTGGTGAACTACGTGCATGCCGAATTAGACACTGACTCTTTATAATTCAGATGAGAGCGTCCATATCAGTTTAGACAGTGTGACCCTTAACCGCCAAGTAAAACGCCGCAGCACAGCCGAAATATTTAAGGAGTTTAGTTATCAGCAGAGAGAGAAAAGGAAATGTATCGGGCTAGCAGGACCGTTTTAAGACAGCAGTAGTTGGAGCTGCAGGACTTAACTTACCTTAATATTCCAGTCTAAGAGCCTCCACAGATGTTTATTTGACCATATATGTATTGCCTTGGGGCGCCAGGACACACGAAGACTGTCAGTTTTCCCAAAATGTCTCCTCTGTTTCTAATTGGGTTTCAATCCACCGTCAGACACATTCGCCTTTTGTCCGGCAGACAGGCGCCATGTTGACACAATGACGCAAGGAACGACGGGATTCGCAGTTTACAGAACTTACTGTACTCACAGAGCTGCCAGTTTATTAGGTACACCTGGATATAAATACAATATCTCTGCAAGGTTGCACGCCTTTATTTGGTTTATGGTGTCTTGTTGACAACTCTATGGACAATCAGGCTGCACTGTAGGGTGTTTCTAATATTTTGTCCACCCAGCATTTTTATGTTACTTAGTTTGTCTCAGGATGATTAAAATAGTCAGGTTCAGAACCAACTTTCTATTCTACTCCAACTATTTAATTCCTGTTTTTTCAAAATCACTAAAACAATTCACACATTTAGGTGATACACATTAACAAAAAAGTTTAGTGTCTCACATAAATTCAAAAACTATCCTGCTGAAGTAAACGTTACACCTGATCGTACTCAAAAGCTCTCCTGAGTGCCTCGTTCAGTCCCCACACAGCTGCGAAACACTGGAGCAGAGAGGTGGACACGGTTTGGCTCCTGTGACCTCTGAGTAACTGGAACCAACCGGTCAGTTTCCTCTGGTACATTAGTGACATGAAACATTTTCAGCAGCTGGAGGTTCCTGACAGTCAGTGGTGTGCACCGAAGCAAATGGGCAGCAGGCTTAGGGTTGTGTTTAGGTTTCTTTAACTATTGTCACAATAGCTACTGAGCTAACTAGACGAGTATTAGGTCATTTTAGGGCATTTGGGCTCATCACCAGGTCACTGGGCTGCTGAAGTGCTGCTACCTTGTGGCTTTAGGGCAAAAATATTCCATTAGGGCCACAGACACATTGTGTCCTAGTTTAAAAAAAATGGCAATTTCAGTACACAGGGGGAGTTATTCTACTTGTGACTCTTCTGGAGCTGACAACAGAGTCTTATAACTCTTTTACCCAGAATGCTACTGATGTGTCAGGCCCAGAGGGAACGTAGATATGGCCCTTACTTAGAACCAGTCCCGCTGGTTTGCATCCTAGCTGCCTAATCAGTGACTAATTAACACCGTGGAGACAATGAGAATACAATTATCAACCTGGTAGGTTAGAAAACCGGCAGTGATGTAAGCCCTGACTTACCAAGACTGAGAACCACTGATGTATGCAAGAAAAGTGTAGTAAAGTATTACCAGACTGCACTGTGCATATGATACAACATGGTCATGCAGGGCCTGTACCTGTTTTAGAATCTTGGATTGTCCCAGTTAGTAAACTCTTCAGGATGATATTCAGGAACAAACACTGCTCAATCAGCATGTTTAGAGCAGATCTGAAAGTTGCTGTAAAACCATTTTGATTTGAAAGGTCTATTCTTGTCAGCTAAACTCAGTAAGATGCTGAATCTGCTGCATTAAGCCAAAATATGATCCTGGACATCCGGACACATTTAATGACACATTTCTTCTCTCACTGCTCATAATTTGGTGACCTTCTGTGCATCTAAAACATGAAAAATAAATCACAGTGAGTGATAATATAGCTAATAAAGCAAACATACCACTTGACATTGATTGAGTACATCGTTACCATTCATTATTGTATGTTGTCTATGTTATGATGCTTTGCTGGACAGGCCTTATGTAAAAAACTGAAGATGAATCTTAGTGGGATCCTTATCTTAAGCAATATAATAAATCAATGTTTAACCCAGACTAATGAGGTATGTCCTTTTACAGTTAAATCCTGTTGCAAAATGGACACAAACAGATGGACAATGACAACACTGTTCTATTTATTGGTAGAAAACATGTGAGTATGGTATAAAATATAAAAATAAATGTTACTGACAACAACTAACACCTAGACATAGTAGTGATAGTTACAAACACAGCGGTTTTAAACGAATAGAGAGGTCTGTGTGTGTGTGTGTGTGTGTGTTCAGGAGGGAACCCAGATGTTGCCGTGTGTGTCGGGAGCCTGGCTGTAAGGAATGTTCCAGATCCAAGGCTGATCTGAAAACAGAGAAAGAAAAGAGGTCACCTATATTAAACGTGAATACTTTGGTTTCATGAATAAAAAGGGACAAAATGGCAGCATTTATGCCAGCTGCAGTGCCTCCACTCACTGTCTCGGAGGAACAACATGCCTCACTCAAAGCATAATATCTAAGTGCAATCTCATAGGGTCCATCGATTATGCCCATTCAGCTGCACTGATTGATCTGCTAAAAGAAACGGGACTGACTCTGAAATAATCTATATGACCTGAAACACTTTGAATTGAACTAATCAGGAGTTTTGGAATAATGATTTCTACAGTGAAGTACTGCAGGAAAACTACTCGTCAGTTCAGCCTCATTGGTAGAATTATTCACATTTGTTCACTGCTACGTCTATTCGCACTAAATGTGATATAGTGCCATCTTGGCAGCCCCCCCCCCATATGTGGTTTCCAGAAAAGCACTTGCTGATGATGGCAGTTTTGTTGATGTGTGCCATTAATTAGGAAACTAAACAGTTTACAACCACCTTTCAACCCAGTAGAGGGAGTGTCTGAAAAGATGTAGTCAGGATGAACTTGTCATCATTTTAAGCCCAAACCCTACCTCTCTTTAATCTGCCTGGATTACTGTAATACACTCTATGCTGAATTACCTAAAAAACACTATTAGGCTGCAACGTTCAAAATGCAGCAGCAAGAATAACAAAAAACATGAAAAGAGAAAATATTACTCCGGTACTAGCGTCATTACACCGGCACCTCCTTCATACCTCTCAGACTGCTTATCTGAGTATGTTCCAAACCATTCCATTAGGTTGCTTAGGATGATTTAATAAAATATATGGTGTAGCAGCTTTTTCTTGTTATGCACTGAAGGTTTGGAACAAACTCCCATCACAAAAAAGACAAACAACTTCTGTTGACTGTTTAAAAAAAAAAAAAAAAACAGCTGCTCAAAACCTATTTTTAGGATCTAGCTTTGAATTAATTCCACCTTTTGGTTTTACATTGTTATATGTTATTTCATGGTTTGTATATCATATGATTGTTTTTATTACTAGTATCGTTATGTCTCGTTTTTAATACCTGTGTTATTGATTTGTTACCTTTGTGAAGCACTTTGAGCTTCATTTGATGCTATTAAAGGTGCTATAAAAGAAGTAAAGTTTATTGTAATTATATATTATTATCTTGTGAAACTAGGAACATGGCTTAATTTTAAGAAGAACAAGAAAAATAGACCAAACTTATCTTTAGGTCCAAGTTTAACAATATGCCACAACTCTCTAGAAATATTTAAATTTCAACCCGTGTTTTGAGGAATAAATGATGTGCTCTCTTAAACCTCTTTACAGCTATGGTTTTAATGTAAACCATTCACCTAAAATGCCACTAGATGTCGCTGTAACTGCAGTTTAAACCTGCTGCACGTCTGGATTCACTGAAGTTTAAGACCACAGAGTTCAGTACAATGCTGGAATTAGACTTTGAAAATACACTTTAAAATGAGTTCAAACTGCATTATTAAATACCATGTGATACTATAACCAGGGTTTACACCTGAGAGGACCCACTTTTAACTGCCGTTAAGCAAGAGTCAAACACTAAGTTAGAGAGCAACAGACTCACTGAGTAATCCAGTCTGCACCTAACTACATACAATAGATTTCCTACACACACACACACACACTTCTGTACCTTTAGGGGAGTAGCATGTAGGAGGAAGGTCGAAGGGCACAGGGAAACCAGCGGAGGAGGAGACGGGAAATGGGTTTTTGTGAACAGGGAAGGTCTTCATGTTCTGGAAGGAGAAAACCATCACACCACATATTACTACACAGCAGCTGTGTAGCTTTTATTGTTACTCAGCACAAGGCTTTATCTTCTACGCTGTTATTCACATTTATGAACAATGGAAATGTTTGGAGGTGTGTATTGGACAAAGAATGACATGTTAGCACAGAGCTACTGTTTGCCCATGTGGGTTGTTCTTACGAAGGCGGAGGGCACGTAGAGGACTCCCAGCTCGTACGAACGAACCATCACCTGAGTGTTGTTCTTCTCCAGTGCACCCCATGCTGCTTTGGACAGGTTGGCACTGAAACACACCAAGAAACACACACAGTTTGATGTTTCAATACAGCTGTGAAGATAAGGAAAGGATCATCTCAGCATATTAATAATCTGAAATGATCGTTTCAACTGATTTTCAGTTTGGTGGGCTTTAACGTGACTGCTGTCCTAAATAACTGTCATGAACAGTGTTATCTGACACACTGATGAGAAACATAATGCATACAACCACAATACACAAATTATACAACCATATTTATTATTGATTATGGTTTATATCTAACATAGAGTATATTGCTAATTATTTAAGAGGTGGAAATTGAATTACATTGTTGTCGTGTCGTGTTGTCGTCGAGGAAATGCATTTGGCGCAACAAAGTTGGATTTTGGGTTTTGAATAAACTTTAATGGTACTGTTTCTTTAATTAGTTACTGCACAAGTTTCATTAGTAATATGTAAGAAATAAGAGAACACTGAATAACAATTGCAAATGAAGAAGAATATATAATGTCACATAATAAAACTACTAATAAGCTGGCACACACACCTTGTGACGAGGAACCAGGCCAGCTGAGTGAAATCTGGTGATGCCCTCATGTACGTCTTGATGTGTGGCATGGCATGACTCCTTCCTGTCGTATTCGCCTTCCAACGGCTGCACACGCACACATGCAAAAAAGAGTATTTTATTAATCTGCTGAATTAAATTTAGAGCAATGTTTAACTATGAATAGGTCTGCTGCGTAAACTGTAGGTCTAAAATCATCCTGTACACAGAGACCAGTCCCATCATTTCTGACCAAATTTCAAAGGCAAATGCAATTCAAGTGTGTAGAACCTTGTCCACTGTGACAAAGAAGACAGACATCCTAACCAGCTAACCAGTTTTACAAATGTGATGTAACATAGAAGTACCAGTACAACACGGCTGAGTTTTAATTTGTAGGCGTGAACTTACTGGAAGTAGGAGTGGAGCCACAGTTGTTTCTGAGCTGTCTGGATGCTGTAGGGAAGAGAGCCTCCCGCTGGACGACAAAAGAGACATCACAACCAAACACACAGCAGTCAATAAACATTCAAATGCTAGATCGATTACGTAATCAGTCAAACACTGATGTTTGAGGTGGATGATAAAATAAATAATACCAAAAAGCAAACAAGCTGCCGAAATGTACCTGACAACACAATACATATTAACAAATGCAGTTTTCAAATGTGAATTAAAAAAAAACACTACTCACCTGGGTAGCCTTCTAAACTAGTCCTCACATCTTCAACTGATGGATACACCTGTAAAGATCAAACCATTTGCCAAGAAAGTCTTAGTTTTATAATCTTAAAGAGAGGTTAATGCCAGCAACAGTAGCACAAATTGAGTCATTAGGTCAGTGAAATTACAGTGTGTTTTATTGCTTATGTGTTTAACTTTTCACATCCAAGAAGAAAAATGTGTCATTTCTTCTTTCAGAAGTTACATAGCATCTCTTTAATTTATGAAATTGGTTTATTTTCTTACATGTCTGAGAGATACAGTACATTTCTACATTTCACAAGTAATCTTATTACGAGATATTCTGTATTGCCAATGGGGCAGGTAGGGGTTAAATTTTATATCAAGCACTACATGCATGCTTGATAGAAAATGCTTTTAGACAATCAACTGTCCTGCAGGGACTCTAAGGAAGTGTGAAAATGTAACTTAAAAATGGCTGTTCTATAATTTACCGCTTGAAAGCTGAGGGAACACAATGATAATAGCAGCAGCAGCCATAGTAAACCTGATTTGTATTGTGTTCTCTTTCTTATAACATTTGAATGCTGCATCACACAAACAACACACCACATCGAGTTTGTGCTGGAGGCATGTACCAAGTGCATGGGGGGGTCTGAGCGAAGAGAGGATTTCCCCAGTGTGGTCATGGTGCGCTGAAATTCCCCTGCCAACCATTTGGTCTTGTCCAGTCCCATAGAGCCGATGCTTGAGAACTGGCCAATCACAGGCCACCTTTCCTCGCCGGGAACAGGATCTGTTTGGTCATACAACAGCTAATAAAATCAGAAGAAGAGACGACAGAGAGGAGAAAATCCCAGTTAGTGGAAATTGTTATATTTTGCAACATTTGTGCAATGTTGTCATTGTTTTGCGAAAAAAAATACTTTATTTTTAGTCTCAATACATGGTTATTGCGGTGCTGCTGAATTATTACCTCTATTACCACTTATATGGATATGTACATGCAAGGAAATACCTTAGAACGTTACTTTGGGAAATGCCTTTAAGAGCCGTGTTGCTAAGATGCAAACTATCAGCCAGTCGGCATGCAAAATGAATATAGCTGACATGTATATTTCAACATTGGTCATATGTGCAAATCAGATGTCACAAGCACCAATTCTTTCCAATCCATTTCATTACAAGTATCTTTGATGACCGTGGGAGGGATGGTCGAGTTTGACAGCGAATCTCAAGTGTCTAAAAGTTGATTTTCACATTGCACTGAAATGAACTGAGGCAACAACCATAACATAAAGACAAACTGCAACTACTGGCAGCTGTTGACTTCTGTTTCTTTCCCCGCTTTGTGTCTTGGATTACAGTATGTTATTAAGTAGCTAGAGAGGAGAGTGGGAGATGAAGAGAGTAGAAACAAACAGAGAAATTTCTACCTTCCTCAGCCTCAGATGGCCCCAGCGATCCATGTCTGCACCAACATATCTCCCTGGTGTTGAGCCAACCAAATAAACCCTGATAATACAAGACAAGAGGATGCTTATAATCCAGATCCAGATTTTATTATTTACTTTCAACTGTACTGAATGCTGCAAGATTACCATTTAGCAGCTGATCAATGTCTATATTACCTGGTTGGATGTAAGACTCATTATTACTGCGTATCTCCTTATTTTCCAGCGTCATGTCTATATCAAGTCTTTGTGTGTGTGTGTGT